CCTCATATTGTTGTCTCAGTTTAAAAGTACTCACAGTCAAGGATCAGCTTGGTCGTCATCTTGCATCAACCTTCTTGAAATCCTGTATGAACTGCTCAAAACCCTCTAGAAACTGTTATAAACCCTCTACAAACCCTTCATAAACCTAAGGTAAACCACGAGACCCAGACCAGAGGCCACAGGACCACGGGGAGGGAGGAGTTTATGAACCCTCTACCAACATTGTCAACCTACTCTAGACCTTAATTTAGACCACAAGGCCCAGACCACAGGCCACAGCACCACAAGGGGGGGTTAGGAATTATCAGGAACCCTGTACAAATACAAACCTTGGTTTAGACAAGGCCCAGGCCGGGGGGGATACCATTGGGGGGGGGATGGGGAGTGTGGATGCTGGCGCATATAACCCCGTTATAGTAGCTGCCGTTTTCTTTTCCATTATCCCACTACAAGTCCAATACAGTCCTAAACCCCCCAATCTGTCCCAGGCTTGAAACCCTAAACCCTAGATCCACAATCTGTCCCCAGGCTTGTTTGGGTTGCGCATGGGAGTGATCCAAGCAGCGGCTATCACAGCGTTCCTCTGCTTAGAGTTTAGGCTTCAGAGTTTCGTTGAGGAAATCATTGGGGTCTTCTGGGTTGCTGTTCAGGAACTTAGCTTAAGTTACTCTACGTATGTATATATATATATACATACCCATTAAGGTAACTTAATTTAAGTTCCTGAACAGCAACCCAGTTTAGGGTTTAGCATTTAGTGTTCCTGTAGGTCTGTAAGGGAATGTAGAGGCGAAGATGACAGTTTCCGGAGCAGGTTTTTTGCTCGACGACTGCATGTCTTGGGGGGCTATAAGGTCCCCCTAGGCGGAAGTATAGGCACATATGGGGTCCAGGGCCTAGGGTTTAGGATTTAAGGGTTAGGGTTTGGGACTTTGTCTAAAGCATGTACTCGGGGCCCTAAGGTATGTCAAGCAAATAATAGTTTGGGTACGTACTGCCCCCACTCTGTAACTGTTGGATAATGTTCATAGTATAATTATATATAGCCCTTAATTTGACCCCTAATATAGACTGTTACAGGGTGGGGGCAGTGCCCAAATTATAGTCACATAATTAGCCATAGGTTTGGCTAGCAGACAACAGTCGAAACGTGTCAAAACAAAATCGCGCGAAGTTCGAAGAATCTTGGGGGTTTGGTTTTCTTTTTGGGCTTGTTTCAAGAGTCGCAAGAACCTGTATTGCCGCGTCATGCTTTGGAACACGGCCGCCAGCGTCATACTGACGCCTGTCCCGATGGCTCTCCATCACCCCTCCTCCACGCCTGGCTAACCTTTTGTAATTTGCCAACGGGTGAAGGGTTTCCGAATGTTGTGGAAGGGGTGTTTGTCAATTCAGGAGAGGGTCCGAGGGCTCTGGAATTTGGGGCGGAGAGGATTACATACACTTGAAACGCACTTAAGCTTTACGTGGGCACCATGGGCACACTGGCCATGCAGGCAGAATGAGCGTGGTATTGCTAGACCCTGGGCTTGGGCAGATCCGAGCGTTTCAACAGCCTTTGCATAAACGTGTGGTTGCAGCCAGTAACATTTCTCAAGTGCAGCAGCGTGCCAAACTCTAGCCTCACTTTGTGTTATCATGGGCCGCGCGTGGTTCGTGGCTTTTGTGCTGGCAGTGGCTTCTGTCCAGGCAGCAAGGAACAGTAATCTTGAGCTTGATAAGATCTCAGACGTCCGGGCGGATGATGCGATCATTGCAAACGTGCAGAAGATCAAGGATTTCATACAAGAGTCAGTTGACCATCGCCAAGGCTCCCCCAACGCCCTCAAAATCCTTGAAGAGTTAAAGAAGGAATTCTTCGAGCTGCTAGACGCAGCGAAGAAAGACTTCCTGAAAGAGCACAATGAGATGGAGAAGAAGTACCAAGCCCTAGTCCGTGCGGAGACGGATGAAAGAATGAAGGATTCACTTCGTTTCCAGGGCGAAGAGGAGTATGATGCACACGTGGTCCGTTTCCAGGAAGACGTGAAGAACATGGAAAAGCAGTTCGCGGACCTCTGCGAGGAACTCATGAAACTTGCAGAGAGTGGTGCCGAGTTCAAAGCATGCGGCTTCAACCTATGTAAAGGAGACACTCTCGAATGCTGCGAGGGGAAGCTGGGTTTAGGGTTTAGGGTATGTTTTAGTTTCTGGGCTCCTATTTTATTACCAGCATTTATCCCCAACTGGTATTTAATTTTCCCAGGCCTTACTGACAGCTGAGGAAGAGTGGCAAGGGTGGCTTGATGTCTTCTCTTGGCAAGTTGCTGTTCAAGTCCCACTCGACCAAGCACACCAAGTACTGCGCAGCGAAGTGCTGATCCAGCATGTAGAGAGCCTTCCAGGACCATAGGCCTTCAAGAGCTTTGAACAGACATAAATTTATGAAGGTTTCCCATATGCGTGCGCACACCACAAAAGGCCTCTTCAAGGCTACAGGCTGCGGTCGTGCGTGATAGGCAGTCGTCTCACGCCGCACGCCTCGAAGTGCTGGGCTAAGACACCCGCCAGCACAGAGGACAAAGGAGCTTGTGCAGCGTATCATGGCTAGCTGGTATGAACCACCCTACATTCCGAGGGTCCTAACTTTCGGGCCTAAACCCTGAAACCCTATAGGGTTTTGGGCTATTTAGGGTTCCCTAAACCCTAAACCCTAAACCCTAAACCCTAAACCGCGTAGGGCAAGAGGTTTTTGAAATCCTGTTATTCGTCTCATCTTCGCAGCTCCATCCGTCCACCTTGGCTGAGGTCCCCTCCAGGTGGGTTTACTGGATCAATGTTACTTGGAGGCCCCCATGGACCTTTAGGGCTTAGGGTTTAGGGTTGAGGGTTTAGGGTTTAGGGGTTAAGGGTTTAGGGTTTAGTGGTTTAGGGTTCATGGGACTTAGTACCTACTTATAACTGGGCGTATAACCCTACTTATAATTGGGGTAACCCCTACAAGCCCATTTAGGGGGATTATAAGTAGGCTTATAAGTAAGCCCAGGTATAAGTAGTTACTAAGTTCCATGGGCCTCCAAGTAAGGACCCTTTGAAGGGGATATAGGGGGTTTTATGGGGATATCATAGGGATATATAGGGTTTAGGGATCCTTTATGCTTTTTGGGGTATGGGATTCCTTTTTAGTAGGAAGGATCCTTTTCCTAGGGCAATGTGGGTTAAGGTTAGGGGTATACAGGTTTGAGGTCTGGGGGTCCGGGGTTCAAAGTTTCTTAGACAGGGCTGCCCAGTGAGGGATCTTATGGATGCTTCTGGGTTGCTGTTACGGAACTTAATTTAAGTTACGTACTATATTGGGGAAACCATATCACAGCCATATCATTTTCTATATATACCCCTTAAGGTAACTTGATTTAAGTTCCTTAACAGCAGCCCAGATTTAGACATTATAGGCCCGGAAAATAATCTTCCAAAACCAGCAACAACACTTCACAACAGCCAAAGATGTGGGGCTTGAAGATGCGGGAGTATGCACGAGTGATAAGCGGCTTATGCATACACCCTAACCTCTGAACCGTGAAAGGCTTTTACTAGACTCTGGTTGGGTTTGGGTTGTGGGGTTTGAGTCCGGACAACAATGCTAGCACTACGGAACTAGAAATGTCTGCTGCGCGCTGGGGTATGTAACAGGTATACAACACCGGAATCGCCTGGGAGGATTCCAAACCCTAAACTCTAAACCCTAAACCCTAAGCCCTATAAACTCTAAACCCTCAACCTGCCAAGAGACCAAGGTTCTCCCCACTGTAGAATCCGGCAAAACACCGTCAAATCAACTCTAGAGGGTTTAGGGCTTAGGGGTCTAGGGTTTAGGGTTTAGGGCCCCACGAAGCCCCGGTTTGCCCTTCTTGGTGTTGTGCATCCTAAGCCCTAAACCCTAACCCCTAAGCTGAGAGAAGGCCACGGTTCTGCATGCTCTTAGTGACCGATGCCACGATCTCATAGATCGACTCCAGGCACGGATCCTGTGCCAAGTTCCATCCCAGCATGGTTGAACAAATGTTTGTTGCCGAGTGATTTTGGAAACCGTTGCGTTTCATTTCAAGAAGTTCGACAGTTCAGCAGTGTCAGAGACATAATTCATCTTGCTTCGCACACCGCTTTGCATGGCTTTTAGATGTGCTTTGAGAACCCTGTGTAAAGTTTGTTGATTGTTACTTCCCCCATAACCTTTGTATGGGGCATTGCCAAATCTCCAGGTTGATCCTGAAATGCCCCAAGCTACTGCGGTTGGCCAAGTCCTAGTTGTGACAGTAAACCATAAAACCCTTAACCTTAAACACTAAGTCTCCCGTGGTCTGTGGCTGGACAGGTGCGCCTTGCCGTCCAACTTCCCGACTTGCTTCGAGATCCTCTCAGCGAAGTGGATGCGACCACGCCCCGTCCCTAGGGTTTAGGGTTTGGGGTTCTGGTGGAGGGTCCAGGAAATTACAAACCAACTATACCTAGCACTGATAGCCGAATTATGACCAAATTAGGGGATATAGGTTAGGAGGACCCCCCACCCTGTAATAGTGGTATAATAACATATAAGAGGACCCTAATATAATCCCTATTATCCCTTATAGTCACTATTACTGGGTGGGGGGTCCACTTAAGATATAGGTTAGAGTGTAAGAGTTAGGGTTAAAGTTTAAGATTGTATTTGATTATGACCAACCTGGGCCTCCAAGTAGGGCTTTTGGGGTCAAAAGTATAGGGCTTATGGTTTAGAGCTTGCGGTTTTGGCTTTGGGGTCTAGGTTTGAGAGTATAGGTTTTTGAGGCTATGGTAGGATCCTTTATGAAGGGCTGTGAGTGTATACAAAGCTGCATATGTGTTTCATATGTGTATGTAAGACTTAGGCATGGGAGTAGGATTAGGGGTCTCTTCGAGTGGTCTCGCCTGCTAGCCCTCAACCAGAATACTAGTACCAGTCACGAGTCGCTTGGCAACACTTAAAGCCTTGTCTTCATTTTCATTATGATTGCTAATCTGCAGAGCATCTGCAAGCATTGGCCACATGCGCCTTGCACATTAGTGAGGAAGGCAGATCGACCTGCCGTCCAGTGCTGTCGATCCTTTGTCCCCTTCGTCCGCCCTCCTGGGAGAAGTATCTACGGAAGACAGAATTGAGTGCTGCCCCTGCTTAACTTAGAAGTCCAAAGCCATCTAAAGCCCTAAACCCAGGACGGTCTGGCTGATGTTATCTTATATACAATCCCTTTCTGTGCTTCCTCTGCAGTCTGTCCATGGGCGAGTATGCAAATAAGCACCTGTTATTGCCAAGGTTGTAAGTAGTTGCTTGCAAGACTACTTGAGTAGTATTTTATTTGGGGAGACTATGGTACCCATTATAGACTAAGATTCTATCCTCCTTGTGGGGTATAGTATTTTTGTATAAGGAATATAATCTTACTAGGCTCAACCACCAAAAAAACGCTACTCACTTGAACAACCCTGAGCCACCTTGAAACGTATTTCTTCCAGGCGCCACCGCGCCCGCGTTGTGAAAAGAGCACTTGTTGATGTCAACAGAGGACGCGTCTGGCAGTATTGTCCCGCACATGACCACTTTCCCTAAACTCTAAACCCCAAACCTCAACTAATTGTGGATCCACAAGATGTGCCTTGAATGGATTCATTCCATGCAGATGCGTAAGATGCTTGGAGGCAACGAAGTGGCTCACCCTGACCCCTTGGCACTGACTTCTCCATCCAACAACCTGGCAACCAAGTGCCCCAACCCTCAGGGTTTAGGGCTTAGGGATCAGAAGCACTAAACGATTTCCCAACCCAGAGTTTCAATCCAGTTGATGCTGACGATGCTGCGAGAGTTTGGCATACTAGAACACCACGATACACCATCATTCCTAAGGTATATGATGCTTGGGGTCATGCAGGACGTAAAGTAAATCGCTGTTCTCCCTGTTTCCATCCTATCCCTTGACCCCAAAGCCTTATCCCTAAGCCCCAGAAGTATGTAAGATAATAGCCGTAAACACCTGAAAGCAGCCCAAAAGGCTATACTTCTACATGCTTTAGGGGTCCAGGTATCCCTAAACCCTAACACACCATCCCTAGCTACATAGCTTAGGCTTGCTTCCATCCTAGCAGCTTTGCCCGAAACTCCGGGCTGTGCGGAGCGGCCTGATGCGCAGGCGGCTTACTTACAGCTGAGCATTCTAATTATGTTGGGATGGGAGTTCAGGGTGTATGGTTTAGGGACTAGAGTTTAGGATTTAGGGTTAAGCGACGGTCTAGGGCTTTGTCATTTTTTAAGGGTCCAGGCTTTAGGTTCTAGTGGATTGGACAGTCACGTGCGAAGGCAGAAGGAAGTGAAATGGAAACTGCTACTCAGGCTATTAACCTGCGTTATATGAGCTGTAGTCTAAACTCCTCAAAGGGGGGTTACATCGAGGATTATACCGGGAACTACTGTAGGGGTTATCAAGGAGAATACTAGGAGTTGAGACCATAGCTCATATGAGGGCTTCCCGTTTAGGGTTGGGGGGGTTCCTGCAATAGGGCTACGGTGACCGATCCTAGATCTTTCTGGGGTCCTCCTTAAGGATTGTCTGCGTGTCTTTTATGAGAAACTATTGCTTATGGCACTTGGTAGTTCCTAAGACAATCCCCTCACGCTGGCCGCATGGTCTTGCCATTCATTCCTTGTTGCATTGGACCATGATTTCCAAGTAGAGATTGTAGCACATACTCTTGGTATATGAGGCGCGGTCGTAGCTTTTAATTTTTGATGATGGTATATAGGGTTCCTCGGGAATCCGGAGTATTGGCACGTGCACATATTCACGGAGACCATAAATAAAGACCACGGGTGTACGGCTTAGAGTTTAAGTTCATATGATGGCTTCAGCAAACTAAATGCACTTGCCGTGGTCGAACTTTCTCATAACATGATTACCATTCCCATTCCTAGTGTACTGCTCTTGCTATAATGGCTACTCTTGCTACTCTTGCTACTCTTACAGCATGTTCGTGTTGCTTTGTATTATAGTCCCTCTCAAGCAGATAGAATATGGGCTATATGGGGATCTTGTGAAAAATATACTCAAAGCCATATTCTATCTACTTTCGGGGGACTACAATAAAGGTTCAAGGGGAGATTTTATTTCACTTCTACAAGGGTTTCTTTTTGAGGTTTTGGCTGCAGCTGACAGAATGTTTAAAAGTGAGCAGTCAGCTTTCTAGGACCTTGATGATGGGGATCATACCGTTGATGAAGGAAATCTTGCGCCCACCTAAAGTCCCTGAAGTCCTAGGGATTACAGTGCTGTAGGGCCCCTAGGTGGTGCAAGATATCATCCATCAGCAGTAGAACCCCCAGGGAAATATAGAAGAAGCTTACGTAACTTTCCAAGGCTAATCTGAGTATTCGATCGAACTTGTTGTGATTCTGTGGCCCATTTGGAAGTTTTCAGAAAATGACCTACCAAGTAGGGGAAGAAATCGCTTTTTGAATTTCCACGCCACTCACTTCATGGAATGAATTTATTTAGGGGGAGCACCTTAAATTTAGTGGTAACTTTCCGTTTCGTCAGGTTTCGGCCCAGTTGGAAGTTTTTCAGTTTAAGCAAGGGTGTTGTTTCTCCGACTCGCTTAAACCCCTGAGCCCACAGGCACATAAATAATGGATTTGGAGGCTTGTTCTAGTATTTAACTATGTTTCAATATATCCACAGCAGAACTGAAGAACAGAATGAGGTGTCAGTTCCGAGAAAGAAGATTACCTCTTTCTAAACCCCAACCCCTGAACCCTAAACCCATACGCCAGGGTTCTTCACTTGGACCCCCAAAACAAATTACTGCAATAAAGTTACACAGATTGAATGATAGCATTGACGGTTGGTTGATTTCTACTTGAGTCATATGAGCCATAGTCTCAACTCCTTACAAAGGGGTTATGCACCGAATTCTATAGGGAGCTTTACAGGGCTTATTACAGGGAGTTTAGATAATGGCTCACATAGATCCTCTGGCCTGTCTCAAAAAGTTAGTCTATGAGTTAGGCCCTAAACCCTCAAGCCAGGATTTCATCCAGTTGTTCTATACAAGTACTCTACTTGCAGGGTCAGGGGGACTCAGCAGGTGAACAATGGGAACAACTGCGGCTATTTTGTGGCTTTCACCCTAAACGCTTAACCCTAAACCCTAAACAGGGCTTATTCGCGCGAAGTTCCAAGTAGTTAATCCACATCAATACTGGGAGCAAGCCTTGGTTTAGATTCTTTACGTGAGCTATAGTCTAAACTCTCCAAAGGAGATTATATAGGGTTTAGGGTTTAGGGTTCAGGGTCTAAACTCCTTAAAGGGGGGTTATATTGTATGGGGGATTATATAGGGGAGTATGATGAGGGTTATTAAGGGGATACTAGGAGTTTAGTGTATAGATCATGTGGAAATGTGCATACTCGTGGGAAATCTTTCTTGGAGGGATGGCCTTTTTTCTTCGGGTCTGAAATGCTTTAGATGATCGACGTGACGGCTAATTCGGTAACTTAGAAACCCATAAATTGTGCGAATAGGCTAGGGAATATTAGAAACGAATGCGAAAGGCTACTCTTTGAAGGGTTCTGCGTTGTAGATGCGCCGCCGCGTGTTTAGATCTTCTGCAAGCAACATCCCCTTAAGGAGTCTCTACATGTTCTCCCATGAAAAGAAACTACAAGGCAGAACTAAGGCAGAAAAAAAAACTAGCGAAACATGCTGGTGTTTACCCCAGTCGTTCAGAAAGGCAGCAAAACTAAATCCCAAACCTTAAACCCTAATCCCCAAACCCTAAATCCTAATCCCCAAACCCTAAATCCTAATCCCCAAACCCTAAATCCTAATCCCCAAAGCCTAAATCCTAATCCCCAAAGCCTAAGTCTTAATCCCCAAT